TTTTTTTTAAAAGGAAGATTTTAAGTTTCATTATAGATTTTTTTTTTGGCTTTCATTAAATTAAATAATTTTTTTTTTCCTTTCTTCTTCTTCACTCCCTCCTTGTTCTCATGCAAGAAATCTCCCAGGAGCAGTTTGACTCCATTTTTGATAGATGGGAGAGGTTCGCATTAGAGGCAGAGAGGGAAAATCAAGATCTTCCAAGAGTAACTGAGGAGGTTCCTCAAACCTCCGAAGTTGTACAAACAGGGCCGCAACCGATAACTATCGAGGAATATCGGCGGCGAAACAAATTACAAAGACGGGTGGAAGAACCAAAGATCCCACCCATTTTCAAAACTAAAAAGCAAACTCGAGGAGGAAAGCGATACAGGAAGAAGAAAGAAATAGCTTTGACATATAGGGCACTAAATTTTGCCACAACAAATAATGATAGACTTAAATTAATGGAAAAAATTTACGAATTAAGAAAACTATAATTTTCTGAATGAGATTTTTTTTAATTAAATAAATAAAAAAAGAAAAAAAAGAAAAAGAGCTTGAGGTTTTAAAGAAACTCTGGAAAGATATTGGCATGACCCGAGAGCCTACAATGCAGGATGTACTCACCCCAACCACTTTGACAGAAGAAATAACAAGAGCAATGCGAAAGGCAGGCTTTGAACCTGGCTGTTAAAAAAAAAAGAAAAAAAACAAAATAGATAAATTTTGAAAAAGAAAAATTTTTACTGATTATTACAAATTTGTTTTAAAAATGGGAGGTAAAGAATCGAAGGTCAGTGATCCAAATGCTAACGTGGTAAACACGGTTCAGATAATAGACCACACTGAAGCTTTGGATACAATAAAAGTTTACCTTATAGTTATCGTTGTTATCAACGCAGTGAGTTTATTCTTGAAATTTTACTCAACCCACAATAAAATTCTTAAAAAGAGATACCAGAGCCACGCTGACGGTCTGGATAAGGTTTAAATAAACATTTTTTTATTATTGATTCATTCTCTCAATGGAGAAGTGGGAAGAAATTTCGAAGGAACTCACTGAAAATAAAATAAACGCGGAAAAATCTTATAAGTGCATATGTAAGAACATAAAAATTAAAACTGAAACAGTAAAGAAACATTTAAATGTTCTACTGTCATCGCTAAACAATATAGGAAAACTCATACGTAGAGTTAATAATACCCTAACAAAAGCTCACCAATTGGAGTCCTACCAGGTATTTTCAAGCGTTAGAGACAAACTAGTATCCTCGTTATCCAGGTATAACGTTGAATTTGAAATACCAACCTCTTACAAACAACATATCGAGATCGATTTCGACATTTGGTTGTTCGAAGGTACGTCGGATACCGAGGAAGAACAAAAAGAGATTGTTGTGCAAGAAGAAATATCTACACAAACAAATATTGTCGAAATTGCAGAACAAGATACACAAACCGAAACAAGTATGACGCAAACAACAGTAGCATTCATCAAGACTGCGTCTTCGATTTTGCCCGAGTTCGATGGCAAACCCGAAAACCTACCAAGTTTTCTAGATGCACTTGATATCCTCGAACAAATTAAAGAAAATCATGAGGCTATTGCAGTGTCTATGATAAAAACAAAGCTAAAAGGCACAGCCAGAAATTTCATAAGCAATGAGACGACAATACAAGAAATTAAACGAAAATTAAAAAACGCAATAAAGGGTGAGTCAGTAGAAGTTTTAACAGCAAAACTCCTGAACATCCAACAGCGCAGTAAGACTGCTAATCAGTACACAGCAGAAATTGAAAAATTAACGAAATCACTAGAGGGAGCATACATATCTGATGGCTTAACAACAGACCTCGCAACTAAGTATGCTACACAAACAGCTGTGAAAGCCATGTGTAAGAATTGCTCCAATGATAAGGTGAAAACAATTATGCAAGCTGGAACGTTCACCTCAATGAACGAGGCTGTATCGAAATTCACAAATAGTTGCAAATTACAGGTAACCCTAATTCATTATTGCACATACGCCAACAAAATTATTTTCGCGGTAATTTCCGCGGAGGTTATCAATCTGGCAATTATAGAGGTAACCAAAGGCGTACATACCCATCACGCTTTAATAACTTTAATAACAATAATAGTTATAACAATAATAATAATAATAATCGATCAAATAACCAAAGGTCAGGACGAAATTTTGGAGCACGAGGCTCTAATCGTACCAGGACTATAAGAAATGTTAACCAACAGGAAAACCAGCAAACTCCATCTCAATAAATAAAAAACTATATGTTTTCAATTTACACCTTAACAGCTACATATCCTCCAAAACAACTCTAAATAATTCAATTTCAACCCTCCTGATCGATACAGGAGCGGATATATCAATTATAAAAAAGGGTCAAATTGACAGTAATGTCACTATTAATTATTCACAAAAAACCGATTTAAAGGGCATTGGTCAAGGTTTAACTAGTACTATTGGAACAGTCAAGGCGGATTTAAAGGATGATTACTTACTTATTAATCATAAATTTCATATAGTCGAAGATGATTTCCCAATTCCTTGCGATGGAATCTTGGGACTTGATTTTATTAAAAAATATAATTGCATTTTAGATTATAGCAAAAATGGAGACAGCCTGATACTGCGTCCATATGATTACCCGGAAAACATAATAATACAAATGACAAATAGACCAACTGTTAATTGCATAACAATCCCAGCACGATCGGAAGTAATCCGACAAGTCCATATTGAAAATGGCAATTCTGAATTATTGATACCTCATCAAAAATTGTCTGAAGATGTTTTTATTGCAAATACCTTAGTAAATTCAAATCAAACCTTTATTAGAGTCATAAATACAACAGACAAAAATGCAACCATTCAAAATTTCAAAATTAACACAGAAAACTTAGATGATTACACAATAATAAATAATAAAACTGAACCAGCAAATAATGCTAAAGAAAAATTAGAAAGATTAAATAAAAATTTTCCAAAATTCGTTTCCCAACAGCTTAATGCACTTTGTGCAGAATATATAGATATTTTTTCACTAGAATCAGAACCCATTACCACTAATAATTTTTACAAGCAAAAACTACGTATGAAAGATGATAATCCAGTTTATGTAAAAAATTACCGAATCCCACAAGCTCATAAAAGCGAAATTTGTAAACACGTAGATAAATTAATTAAAGATGACATAATAGAGCCGTCTATGTCGATGGCGATGCAACGAACGAAATGGGTCTTTGTAGCTCTTCCCACAATGGAAATTGCAGAAGCTGATAAAAACATAAACGACAACTACAACTTTACGTAATTCGCTCGCTTTTCGTTACAATAGAATTTGTCTATATTTGCGGTTTCCAATTTCAATTTTTTAAATTTATTACGCTGGAAGTTTTGTTATCATTACGCATGATGCAATAATACAAGGTGGTATCAGTTGTGACAGGTCGATTTGACACTACCTTAGCTCAGTAGAATAAGAAGAGAAACGGGAAGAAATTAATCCCCATTTGGGGGAAAAATATGAAATTTGATATTTTTTCTAAACATATGAACTAAAATAATGTAACTTTGAAATAAAATAATGTAACTTTTCAAGATTAATGTTTAACATTGCATAAATAATTAAAAAATAAAAAATACTATTGATTAAAAAAGATAAAAGATTTTATTTGCTTTTACTGATGTATTTGGTGAACCATAAATTCTTTAACAAAACATTCATATCTTTCTTGACCGGAGGTATACAAATCGTAAGAACATTATTCATGTATGATTGTGTTGAATGATTCTGATTATAATTTTGCGTTTTTAGCGTTATAAGTATGCCAAAACCAAGTTGTTTTCTGTGTCGTAAGACGTGAACACATGAAGGTATCAGAATGTTCTACGTACCGAAAGACGAAACTAAAAGAAAAAAATGGGCGGACTCGTGTGGAATGGAGTTAAGACCAGAGGCAAAAATATGCGGGCTTCACTTTTCCCCTGAAAATTTTGTGTCTGGTTCAAACCGGCAAAGAACAAAATTAAGCGGGGATGCCCTTCCAATGATGATTGAGAGCCTTAGTTCATCTAAAGTGACGGAGTTCCTAGACGCCTCAACACAAACTCAGTACATTTTGAAATAATTTAAAAAATAACTTGATAATATACATATTCTGTTTAGATGGGAATCAAATGACCGCGTAGAAATTCTAGAAGCAGAGGTAGCCATTCTTAAATCCCAATTGAAAGAGTTGCAAAGCCTTCAATCCAATCTGAAACAGATTTTCACAGAAGGTCAAATACGAAAACTTGAAAATCCATCGAAGATTATTCACTGGAGTTGGAAGGGCATGTCCTCAGCCATATCTTTGCATTCGGCTGGACCACGTGCTTATGGTCATCTCCTTAAGCATAAGTTCCCCCTCCCAAGTGAACACACGGTAGCGCGATGGTGTCAGAAGCTTAAGTTCGAGGACGGTAATAATACAAGGCAATAATACAAGGTGGTATCAGTTGTGACAGCTCGATTTGACACTACCTTAGCTCAGTAGAATGAGAAGAAAAACGGGAAGAAATGAATCCCCATATGGGGGAAAAATATAAAATTTCACATTTTCTCCTTAACAAAATTTGCTTTTTTATAGTGTATTCGTTATGAAATGAAATAAAATAAGATAAAATACCTTTTTAAGAAAACAAAGTGTGTATACTGAGAAAAAATAAAAAGCATTCAACTATATTAATGGGCAAAGAATAGTGAAAGAAGTAACACTGTTACACGTAAGGTAGTCAATATGGCGGAATTAGAGCGAGAAGTTGCCAACTGATAACACCTTGTATTATTGCATCATGATCATTACGTGCTACTCCCATAATAAACAGGGTATACATACCGCCAATTTGACTCAGTTACTTGTACATATACATATGTGTGTATGATAAGGTGCACAATCCATGGTGCCGCAGTTTAATTTGCGTTAAACACATATACATATATCAGTAAATATTTTTTTATAATTCTGATGAGGGTGCAATACTAGCACCGAAAGCTAAATAAATTGACAAAATACATTTCAATTGGCTCGGAGATATCGACTTTGGTTTCATCGAGTGGGGTTTCAAAATGTTTACGAGAGCTGGTGTGTCCGGGGGATTATATATGATTTTAGTCTGTACATTGGAGAAGGACTTATGGCCTGGGAATATCATCAGATATCGTGCTATTTTTATCATCCAATATGCCAGTAAACCAAAATTTCAGACTCTTTTTTGACAATTGGTTTTCTTCAATAAGCTTGATGTGTGCTCTAAAAGAAAAAGGCATACTGGCCGTTGGTACAATTCGAAGCAACCGATTGAAAAATTGTGATATAAGCAGTGAGAAAATCCTTCAAAAGCGAGGACGTGGATCTAGCGATTTCAAATATGAAGCAACGCACAACTTGATTGCTTGCCGTTGGTATGATAATAAGAGCATACAACTGCTTTCAAATTATGTAGGTAAGAATCCCATGACTGAATGCAACAGATGGTGCCGCAAAGAGAAGAAATTTATAACTATACCTCGTCCAGGTATAGTTGAATGTTACAACAAACACATGGGAGGGGTTGATCTTGCAGACATGCTGCTTGAATTGTACAAAATCAACCACCGCTCAAATAAATGGTACATGCGCATAGTATACTGGTGCATAAATTCGAGTTTAGTAAACAGTTGGTTGTTGTACCGCAGAGACATTGCACATACAGACGGCGAATCAAAGTATATGCCGCTTATAAATTTTCAATTGGATGTTGCTGCCGAACTTTTGAACGCAAGTCAAACTACAGCTGTCGCCAAAAAGAGAGGTCGTCCATCATCACTCCTTTTGACAATGAATTCAGGAACTGAACCATCTTCCCCAGCATCACCAGCTCTATCATCACCAGCTGCTTCTACAGGCTCTGAATGAAATTCCTATAAAAGAGCTTATGTTGAAGACCCACCAAAATCACTACGACTTGATGGTTATAATCATTGGCCGGAATGGGGAACAAGAGGCGGATGTAGAGTATGCACCACTGGGTTTCCAAGCTGTAAATGCGGCAAATGTAATGTGCACTTGTATTCCAATCCCCAAAAAAACTGTTTCGTGTCTTATCATACATAAACGGCCCAATTCTGTGTTTTCTTGATCAATTTTTTGTAAAGAAATTTTATCAAGATTTTTATCAAGTAAAAGCTTCCCTCGTATTCTGTGTCAATATTTATAAAACAAAAAGCTCTCCGATTTCCACATAAGTGGAACTGATTTCATTGTCACATATGAAAAATATGGATTTAAAAGCAACAAAGCTTTGGACTGTCGTAGCCGAGTAGCTAGAGATGTCGACTATAATTCCGTGTGTCGCAGGTTCAAATGCCGGCACATGGAGTATTTAATTGTTAGAAACAAATTTATTAATATACAAAATGTATACATTTCACATGAAATTTCAATTTGTCAATAGCATTTTCAATCTTGATAATTTATCAAGAAAAAAGCTTTTGGTTTCTGTGCTAGAATACCAATTCTTGATAAATAATAAAAAAATGACAAATTATAAAGATTTTCAATTTATCAAGTGCACAGAATCGGGCTGAAAATATAAATAAACTTGTTTTTAAATATATACCACCATTGCCCAATGTTGCATATACGCAACATCCTGTAGCTCTTGAACCAGGACACCTAGGACCTTGAAATTTTGAACAGTTAATATTGATGTCAACCCTATCTTATATATCTACTCAAAAATATTTTAGCCCCGCCCATTTTAATTCGGGCATGAGAGGGTTAAATTGAAAAAATCCGAGCGTTAAACAATTCGTTTTATTTACGTAATTGTTTTTATCTTTCACCAAGCGCCTCAACTTCAAACAGTGACCTAGATGAAGTTGGGGTCTCCTTTCACGAGTCGCTTCAACACCTTTCATGTGAAGAACAGCCATGTTCTTCCTCTCTACGTTATTCAAAATTTATTTAAGTGAAGCGACTCCTAGAAAACGAAAGTATCGGGAGGAGTTAAATATCACAAAGAAAGAAGTAGTTGAGTTACGCAAAAAGGTGACATTTTTAGAAGAAAGGGTAGAAAGTTTAAGCAAGGCGCCCGATTTGCCTGTTAACTTGCAGGATAGGCAAATCGAAGAGCTATAAAGTTTTTGTCACCGATTTGGTATAGGTATATAAAGCCCCTTTTTAACTGGCCTTCCAAAACGACTCCCGAACAATTCGTTCAAGGTTGGCCACGTAACCCTGGCGGATTCTCTAGTAGCATTAAAGCCCTGGACCTAAGAAGCCGTGGCTCCAAGGACGCACAGAGATATTTTTCGATCTGTTGTGATGAAATGTCTCTCGAAACTCATGTTCAATATGAAAGGAGTAGAGATTCTATTTTAGGACTAGAGGATTATGGCGATGAAAATCGCACCTGTAGAGTAGCTTCCAGTGTTTTAACTCTTTTGGTCCAAGGCATTGGTGGGGTGTCTAGGACCCATCCCTTACTATATTTTTACGACCATAAATCTTGCAAAGGGGATATCATGAAAAAATATATAAGTTAACACCAGCAACATATGCGCGCATCCACTTCAGCGCATAGAAAACTGACACTTGTTATTGCAACTAAAATTTATAAATTCCAATCAACAAAGAATATTACCAACAAGTGCAATGGTTGCACTATTCATTCCAGCTAAATTTA